AGCGCTGAACCAGATTTGAACTGGTGACCTATTGAGCTGCAATCAATTGCTCTACCCCTGAGCTATCAGCGCCCCCTGGTTTCGCTATGTATTTGTAACAATATGAACATTACTTGTTTAAGGACCATGGCAGCTTCCTTTCCTTTCAGGGCCAATCTTTGGTCTTTCGTGATGTCCGCGAGATGAAGCACAACCCCACTTCACTATGGGTGTCGGACCCTTGGTCAGTAGGGAATCTCTGTCGCCTCTCCTCCCCTCAAGTCGTGTACGGCTGCGACAGCAAACGAACACGACGGACACAAGTCCCCTATCCCCCCCATCACAATACCAGCCGCGGCACCCTCACCTGCGTTCGTACCGGCGTTCGTACACCCACGTGTGCTGTCCACTACCAGCTTCGCTTTGATTGGACTTGGCGAGCTGACGCTATCACGCGCTGACGGACATCGAACATGGGTGTCATCGAGTTCATCGTAAGTGTGAAACTGTGTCTGTCGATCTGGTGCATCGCTGCGCTTGTGAACGGCGACTTTGATGGTCATGCATATCACATCGCCTGCTGCTGTGTATCCCGGGTAGGCACCGCGGTGTTCCACCCCTTCCTCAATCGGTCTGGCTGTAAGCAGGAGCAGGAGTCACCCGTGCATGCATGAAACATCTATTTCACTTTCCAGTGGTTTGAACGGCAGGAAGTCTAGGTTGAGAGCAGACCGACGCCCGACGACAGCAAGGAAACGATAAATTGAGGCAACAAACGATCGTGTATCTCGACTGACCGACGGAAGATATGGAGTGGGTACCCTCTCCTGTGTGACCCTGGACGGTGCGTCTAGCTAGTTGTAGTATACCAAGTATGCTGAGAAGTGTACGTGCACATGCGCGGCAAAAGTGTAATGTGCACCGAAGAGGAGTAAGCAGGCGGCGCCAGAGATGGGACGAAAAAAAAAAAAAACTGCAAGTCTTCAGCAGAGCAGTTGAACCAAGAGAACGAACTTGTGTAGCTTTCGGGAGGTCGGTTAGATACACTCTAGGGGGTGACTCAAGTTGAAAAACAGTTGCAGAGACTGAAAATTTAAGATATGATGATCAAAGAGAGGTNGCATCGCTGCGCTTGTGAACGGCGACTTTGATGGTCATGCATATCACATCGCCTGCTGCTGTGTATCCCGGGTAGGCACCGCGGTGTTCCACCCCTTCCTCAATCGGTCTGGCTGTAAGCAGGAGCAGGAGTCACCCGTGCATGCATGAAACATCTATTTCACTTTCCAGTGGTTTGAACGGCAGGAAGTCTAGGTTGAGAGCAGACCGACGCCCGACGACAGCAAGGAAACGATAAATTGAGGCAACAAACGATCGTGTATCTCGACTGACCGACGGAAGATATGGAGTGGGTACCCTCTCCTGTGTGACCCTGGACGGTGCGTCTAGCTAGTTGTAGTATACCAAGTATGCTGAGAAGTGTACGTGCACATGCGCGGCAAAAGTGTAATGTGCACCGAAGAGGAGTAAGCAGGCGGCGCCAGAGATGGGACGAAAAAAAAAAAAAACTGCAAGTCTTCAGCAGAGCAGTTGAACCAAGAGAACGAACTTGTGTAGCTTTCGGGAGGTCGGTTAGATACACTCTAGGGGGTGACTCAAGTTGAAAAACAGTTGCAGAGACTGAAAATTTAAGATATGATGATCAAAGAGAGGTTGTACGGAAGAGTGGCGTAGTGGAAAGAGCTCAGGTGAAATACTTTAAACACATTCCTTTCGACTGAGCCTGGTGAGGCTGGTCTTGGGCTCGTTATTATCGCAACGGAACATTCACGCATTTTTTCACGGAGCGGCGAAAAGAAGACCCGATTATTTTTCTATTGTTCTATTCGTGATATCATCGCAAAAATTGCGTTTCCTTCCCCGAACACACGCTTTGCTCGGCACACAACAGGTTGACTTGATTTTGCTTACCATAGAGCAGCGGTAAAAGCGCAATGAGCAGCATCCGACTCAAAGGACAGCACACTTCGAAAGATCCCGTCCACCCGGCCTGCTGTTTTCAGTTTTCAGCAACAACAGGCACAGGGCAGAGTGTTGCAACCGGGGTGTTGCATGCGATTTCTTCAGTTTGCCGGCTCATTTTTCACGTTGCGACTCCCTTCTTTGACCACCACCTGCCCAAAGGTAGACGAGCTCAACGATCATAGGGCGGCAGCGGGGTTGACGGCCAGCATCATTAAGATGGCCAATCCGTGTCGGAGGCCCTGTTGCTCTACTGCTGCGTGGTGCCGTGGATTGATGTTAACGTGTCCGACCAAAAACAGATCATTTCGCCGCATTTTTTCCAACGGCATTTTGGTGAGGTGGCACACGTCTCTGACACACCTTATTGAGCTGCGTCCGAGCCCCCAATACCCACGAAGCAGCACGGCGCCGGGAGTGAGTATCTTGTAGACAGCCGAACCGAAGGAATCAGCACGTCGGAGCTCTTGATGTTGCTGCTGTACTCGTTCTACTGTTTCCGTGTTTGCTATGTGTGAGTGAAAAAAATTCTCCAGCACCAACAGCGGCAGTTGAACACGAGAGCACAACGTAATGTCTCGTTTTGGACCAAGAATGGCCTGAACGCGGCTTCTGCCGCTTGTCCGTCTCCACAACAGACCTGGGCGTGAGTCTGCCAGGTCTTGCGAGCGTTCTCAGTGATGTTGCAGCGCCGGCGGTGCGCCTGCCCGACCCTGCCCGACCCTTGTGTCGAATTCCCCGGATTTCGTGAAAGCAGCAAGCCCCGAAAAAACCTGCTCGCTACTTTCACGGATCGGGGAAAAACGCCTCCAGATATTTGCAAGAAAGCACGCTTGCGTTAATTTTTCCGTGTGTTTGTTGTCATTAGTAGTAGGCCTTATGGCTTAATTTTCACCGGATT